GTTCTCTTTTTGGGTTGGGTCTTTCCCTGGTTTTGGAATCAAAGTAACACTTGCTTCCAGGAATGAATTTGGAAGCCTTGCTTCCCTTTCAGTTTCCTTGTTTATCTTAAAATTTTGTTTAAATTCCCTTCCTAAATTTAGATCTGTTTGAGAAGATGGTTCCTGTGTCAGTGCAACAATCTTTGGCTGCCTTTAATCAGAGGAAAGCTGATTTGGTCAACAGATCAATTGCTCAAATGAGAGAAGCTACCACTTTGGCAAATGGGTAGGTAACCTTAACTTTCATAAATTTGTTTCTAAAATTCTAAAGTTTTGTTTGGTTGTTCTTTGACCATATAGTTTATGAACATTTTAGTTTCCTGAGCTTGAAATTTAACGTCAAGGAAATACATAGTATAACAGTAGATACACATACGCTTGTATTTCTAGGGATACTGTATTAAGCTGTAGCAAATAAATTATAGTTGGAAGAAATTTACTAACAGAAACTAGGTGAGAATGTTTCACTATTAGTTTGTACTTTAAGAGATATTTATTTGAGTGAAAGAAGTGTAAATGAACTTTCTAAGTTAAAGTATAGTACATGGTGTCTTAAGTATTCTAAACCGGATTTTTGTTTTTTGGTGGTTTGAAGACTTAACAGTGTAATTCACTGGTCTTAAGAAATTTAGGTATAATTTGCCCACAGTAAGTACACCCGTTTTAAGTGTACAGGTCAGTTAGTTTTGATAAATTTGTGTACTTAAATAACTACCACCGCGACCAAGATAAGATTGAAGATATTTCTGTTACGTAATCATGCCTTTCTCCCTTCAGTTCCTTCTCCCCTGGCCCCTGGCCATTACTTATCTGTTCCCTATCACAATAGGTTAGTTTTGTTCTTTATGCACTTTAATACAAATGCAATCATTATATCAAGTACAGTATGAACATTACAGTATTGCTATAGTATATTGAGTATGCAATACTTAAGAGTATGTATAGTATATACTCAAAGTGTCTTTTTTCACTTAGCATAGTATTTTTGAGTTTCATTTCTCCTCTTGAGTATTGGTTTAACCTGTTTTGTGATGAGTGGTATTCTACTTTTTTTTTGTTGCCACTGGGGATCGAACTTGGGACCCTGCGCTTGTGAGGCAGGCAGAAGAACCACTGAGCTAAATCCCTGGCCCGAGTGGTATTCTATTTTATGGTCACACAGCAGTTTGTTAATTCTTTTCCGTGTTGATACATTTCAGTTACTGTGAATGTTTATATACAAATTTTTGTGTGGATGTGTTTTAGTTTTCTTAGATAAACACATGGTAGTGGAATTTTTGAGTTGTGTGTATTTAACTTTATGCAAGACTGGCAGATTATTTTCCCAAATGAGTGTTTCATTTTGTATTCCTAGCTACATTGTTTGAGAAATATAGTTGCTCTGCATCCTCACCAGCACTGTCTCTAATTTTAGCCTTTCTAGTGTGTGAAGCAGTATCTCATTGTATTTTACTTTGCATACCCATAATCACCAATGATATTAACCAGCTTTTTATATGCTTAGTAGCCATTGATGTATCTTTTGTGAAGTGTTCGTTGAAATCTCTGTGTGTGTGTGTGTGTGTGTGTGTGTGTGTGTGTGTGTATTAAATGTAGGATTACTTTATATATGCTGGGCAAAGGCTCTGCCATTGAGTTATAGTTCCAGCCATTTTACTTCTTTTTCTCCTCCCCTTCCCTTTCTTTATTATAGTTTAGGCTGTCCTTGAACTTGCTGTGTAGCTCAAGCTGGCCTATTTGGTCCTTCTATGTCAGACTCCTGAGTATAAACCACTTTTAAAAAACATTTCTTGAAATGTGCACTCTTTTTTTGGTGTGTGGGGGGGTTACTGGGTACTCTACCACAGAGCTGCATCCTCAGTTCTTTTTCATTTTTCATTTATCTTTACATTTACCTATTTTGAAGACAAGTCCTTTGACACATATATGTGATTGAAGATATTTTCTCCTAGTCTGACTTTTGCATGTTTTTAACTTTGATAAGTGTATGGATTTTGATAACTATTTTTCTTTAGTGAGAAGGCGACTGAGTTTATTGTTACAAGCGTTTAAGAGGCAGTCTGAGTTTATACAAACTTACTAAGAAGCTCATTGTATTACATTATTTTACGTGCTTTTTTGTCTTTATAAATAACAGGGATAAGTTTTCCCTATCTCATCTTGTAGATGAAATAACTGAAGAATCATTATCGTATTACAAAACTGAGAACAGATGAAGACTCTAATTAATGCTTACATCATCTGTGTTCTATTGGCATTTTGCTTAGATGATATAAGATTGTAACTGTTTTGTATGTTTCTGATTTGTTAGTGACAGTATAACCATAAAAATGATAAGACTGCTTTTTTAAGATAGAATTTTGACTTTTAATTACTTAGACTGAAAAAAGTTAAATTTGAGCTGTTATTTAATATATTTTAATACGGTCATAGCTTTTCTTTTTAAAATTCTGACCTGTGATCTTAATAACTTAATTTTTTTTCCCATTAAGTTTATTGGTACATTTTAGGTATACAATACAGTTATATTCATCATTGGGATCTTGTACCTTTACATGATGTATCTTAGTTCTTATTTTTTCCCATTCCCCTGACCTCTCTTCACCCCCTCCACCCTACTCTATTTGCAAAGACTTTGTTGTCATTTTTTGCCTTTTCTCATATTTTTTTCTTTTCCCTTCTTTCCTTTCCCCTACCCCTCCCACTTCCCCTACTCCTTTTGACCTTTTCTTCCCATTTCACAGTATCAATTATACATTGTGATCCTTATTTACACTTTTAGTTTTTCACACCGGAGAAACTACTCAGTATTTATACATGTATGTCCTATTTATTTCACTTAAGGGTATGGCCTCAATGTGCATCCACTTAGCTATAAATGTCTCTAGTTTCTCATTCTTTATGGCTGAGTTGTACTCCATTTTATTAAAAAAACCACATCTTCTTTATCCAGTCTCCAGTTGATGGGCAGTTGGGCTGTTTCTAAATTTTAGCTATTACACACTGTGCCGCTACAAATGTGGGTGAGCATATATCGCTGTGGTATGATTCTTTTAATTCTTTTGAGAAGATACCCAGCAGGGGAATAGCTGGGTCAGTTGGACCTCTAATCCTAATTTTTTTAGGTATCTTCATATTGATTTCCACAGTGGTTGCACCAGTCTGCATTCCCACCAACAATGAAGAGTTCCTTTCTCCCCACACCCCCACCAGCAATTGTTATTGGTTGATTTCTTTCAGAAAGCCATTCTTTCTGGGGTCAGGTGGAATCTCAGCATTGTTTTCATTTGCATCTCTCAAATGACCAGTGATGTTGAACATTTTTCATATGTTTATTTGCTGCTTTTACTTCTTTGTCTGAGAAATGTCTGTTCATTTCAGATGCCCATTTTTGAATTGGGTCTTTATATTTGGGGGATCTGACTCTTTTGAGTTCTTTATGTATTCTAGATAATAGACCTTTGTCTGAGGAACAGCTGGTAAAAATTTTTTCCCACATTGTAGGTTGTTTTCTTAGCTCTGTTGGTGGTTTCTCTTGCAATACAGAAGCTTTTTAATGAGATCCCAATTGTTGATTCTTTGTGCTAGTTCCCGTGCCACTGAGGATTTGTTCATAAAGTCTTTTCCTATGCCAATGTCTTCGAGAGTTCTACCTAACTTATCTTCCAGCAAGTTTAGTGTTTCTGTTTTAATATTTAGATCTTTAATTCCCTTCGATTTTAGTTTAGTACATGGTGAAAGATATCTAGTTTTAATCTTCGGCAAGTTGAAATCCAGTTTTTCCAGCACCATTTATTAAAGAGGCTATCTTTCCTCCATTGAGGATGGTTGGCTCCTTTATTTTTTATTTTATTTTTTTTGGTACCGGGGATCGAACTTGGGTCCTTGCGCTTGCGAGGCAGGCGGCGGAACCACTGAGCTAAATCCCTGGCCTGATTGGCTCCTTCATTAAAGATGAGGTAGCTTGAGTATGTCTGGAATAACTTAATTCTTTAATGATTTCATTTTAATTTTAATCAATCATTGATTTTGTTTTCCCTTTTTATTTTTTTATTAATAGATTTATCTATTTTTTTTCAGGTGCTGAATCCATCGCTATTGAGCCAGACATAAGGGGTTAATATTTTGAATGTTGTTCAGATTTTTATATAACATAATATCTAATTTTTTTCCAGGGTATTAGCTTCCCTTAATCTTCCAGCAGCAATTGAAGATGTGTCTGGAGATACTGTACCTCAGTCTATATTGACCAAGTCTACATCTGTGATTGAACAGGGAGGTATCCAGACTGTTGATCAGTTGATCAAAGAACTACCTGAACTACTACAAAGAAATAGAGAAATTCTAGATGAGGTATGTTTTAAAAGATTTTTGTTTTTCAGGTAAAAACTGATCCCTGGTGTTCAGAAGGGATTAGGACTGGAGGTTTTCACGGGGTAGTATTTATCATCTTGGTGAATTTACTGTGGCTTATTCTTCAGTCTTGAGGAATTCTGTTACATGAGAATGAGTTCATTCTTAAGGCAATTGAGTGCATATAGATGAAACTCATATGACCATTGTATTATACTAGTATGAGAAATTACTGTCATACAGACTGTTGAAAGGCTTCATAATTAATGATTCTTTTGTATATAGGCAGATTAGGTTTCTTGATGAACGTGGACTCAGACATGACATTTTTTTTACAAGGCTGTTGGATTTATTTACCAGTAGAGATAACTCTTTTGTTAGTAGGAATGAAGCGCTCTTTAAAGTTTCTTTGGTTAAAGCCAACTATTTACCACTGTAATCCTGTTTTTATGGTGCCTTCACTCCTTTTCCTTAATTGGTACAGTTCATTTTAAGCTGTAGATGCATTCAAACATTATATGAGCTGTTGCCTGTTCACAACTCACATATTTTCTTTTGGGTGTTTTTTGTTATCAATACTTAGTAATATACTTTATATTCATAGAATATTTTACAGTTTTTTAAAACCTGTTGTAAGTCAAAGAAGTTTGATCTGGTTGTGCGTTTGGAAGGATGTTAGAAAGAGTTCCTCCCACCTCTGCCTCCTGAGTGCTTCTTGTTTATCTTAATATGAAATACTTTTACCTTATTTGATATTCCTAGTAGTCTTATGAGTTAGGGTTATTATTATTCTGTCAGTTGTACTTGGAGTCTCATTTTAATTAAGTTGTAAGTTGTGAAGTATATTATAAATCGGATACTCGATTTTGAATTGCCCTCCCCCCTCCCTTATTTTTGTTTTTTTGAGACCGCATCTTGTTATTGTGAGTTCAGGCTGGCCTTGAACTCATTATATAGCCCATGCTGGCCTGGAACCCATGGCAAGCCTCCTGCCTCAGCCTCCTGAGTGCTGGGACTACAGGTGTGTGCCACCACACCCAGCTCCATCTCTTTTTTACCTTTTGGACATCTTGTTTTAGTCCAATTTTTAGGAATTTGAAGTGTGTACAGTTTTTTTAAAATAATAAATTTCTCATGGTTGGAACCTCTGGGGCACTTTAAATCTTAACATCCTTGCCCATGGATTCTATCTCTTTCCTTAGTTGTTCCTTTTTCTGCATTCTCTTCATTATCCTCTTATGAATTCCTGTTAGATTGGTAGTGGTGCTTCTCGATCAGTTCTTCATATCACTTAACATATCTTTCATTTATTCTCTTTGTGTTCTTGTACTTCTTTCAGGCTAGCCTTCTAGCTTATTAATTGGCTCTTCATCTGGGCTCTTGGTTCTTCAGCCACCCCCTCCCCCCCAAAATATGCTTGATCTTTTTCATTTCCAAGATACTCAATTGATTCTTTAAAAATATCTCATATTTATCATACAACCATATTTTTTGAGGTAAAATTGACATAGCATAAGTTTCACCATTCGTCTCTAAAGTATACAAGTGAGTGCCCTTAGTACATTCACAATATTGTATATGCATAACAGCATAACATTATTTAATTGTAGATCATTTTCATCTCCTGAAAGAAACCATGTACCCATTAACAGTCACTCCTCAGTCTCCCTTGCCCTCTGCCCTTGGCAACCACTAATCTAATTTCTGTCTCTATGGATTTGTCTGTTATATTTTATATAAATGGAATCCTACAATATGTGGCCTTTTGAGTTTGACTCTTAGCATAATGTTTTCAGGGTTCATACTGTAGCATGAGTCAATACTTCATTTCTTTTTTATGGCTAAATAATATTGCATTCTGTGGATATACTATATTTTGTTTATCCATTCCTAGTTGAATGAGTTTTTCCCATTTATTGGCTGTGCTGAATAATGCTGGTATCTGTAAGTTTTTGTTTGGAATCCTGTTTTAGTTTTCTTGGTTATGTACCTAGAAGCAGAGTTGCTTGGTCATTTGGTAAGTATAATTTTTGAGGAACTGCTAAACTGTTTTGCAGAGTAGGTATACCTGTTTATATTTTTACTTGCATTATGTAAGGGTTCTAATTTCTCCACACTCAATCCTTACAATTGCCTTTTTAAAAAATATTTATAGCGTGATTCCACCGCCGGCCTTGCAAGCGCAAGGTCCCGAGTTTGATCCCCGGTACCAAAAAAAAAAAATATATATATTTATAGCTGACCTAAGTACGTGTGAAGTGGTGTCTCACTGTGTGTTTGGGTTTTCCTAGCATCTGTTCATTTGCTTATTGTCATTTGTGTATCTTCTTTGGAGAAATGTCTGTTCAAGGCTTTGGCCTTTAAAAGTTGGGTTGTGGGCTGGGGATTTAGCTCAGTGGTTTCGCCGCCTGCTGCACAAGCGCAAGGACCCGAGTTCGATCCCCAGTACCAAAAAAAAAAAAGTTGGGTTGCCTTTTTGTTGTTGAATTGTAAGTTCTTTCTTTAATTTTGGATGCTAGGTCTTATTAGATAGAAGATTTACAAATACCTTCTCCTGATTTTCTTTTCATTCTCTTGATAGTGTCTTTTGCTGTAGAAAAGTTTTTAATTTTGATAAAGTATAATTTATCTTTGTTTCTCTGTTCCTTGTGCTTTTGGTATCACATTTAGGATTCTGTTGTCAAAAATCTAAAGTTGGGAAGATTTACCCCTTATGTGTTGTTTTAAGAGTTTTATAGTTTCAGCGCTTCTGTGTAGGTGTTTGATCCATTTTGAACTAAATCTTGAATATGATGTGATTTAAACATCCAACTTCATTTTTTTTGCATGTAGCATTGTTGGTTGAAGAGAATGATCTAGCCTCTTTTGTGGAAAATCACTTGATTGGTATGTCCAAGTTTATGCCATTACCACTTGTTGTTATTACTGTGGCTTTATAGTAAGTTTTGAAAGGGGGAAATGAAAATTCTAAACTTTGTACATCTTCAAGATTATTTTCTTTGCTTAGGGTCCTTTGCAATTCTATAGAGATTTTAGGATCAGTTTACCTATTTCTACAAAAAAACTAGAAGTTCTATAAGTTTTGCACTAAATCTTTAAGTCAATTTGTTGAATATTGCCGTTCTTAACAATATTAACTCTTCCAACACATGAACTTAGGACATCTTTCCATTTTGTTTTTAGGTCTTTAATTTCTTTCAACAGTGTTTTGTAGTTTTCAGTGTATAAGTCTTATGCCTTATAAGGCATAAGACTTCAGTTAATTCTTTTTGATGTTATGGTTAATAGAATTGTTTTTTAAATTTACTTTCTAATTGTTCATTTCTAGGATATAGGAATACAAATAATTTTTGTAAGTGGATTTTGCCTTCTGCAATTTTTTTGAATTCATGTATTGTCTCTAATGGTTATTTTGTGTATTCTTCAGATTTTTCTACATATAAGGTCAGTTCAGGTATGGATAGAGAGTTTTACTTCTTCCCTATCAGTTTGCATACCTTTTATTTTTCTTGCCCTGGTTGTTACAGTATAGAAATGGTGAGAGTAGACATCCTTTTCTTGTTCCTGATCTTACGAGGAAAACTTTCAGTGATTTACCGTATGCAGTCATATATCCTTTAACATAAAGGATGTGTTCTGAGAAACACTCACTAGGTGATTTTTGTTATTGTGCAAACAAAGTGTATACTTACACAAATTTAAAATGGTTACAATATCAGTAGTTATGGGACAGCTGGTATTTTGACCAAAATATGGTTTTGTGCCACATGACTGGATGATGTTAGATGTGAATTTTTTGTATAATGGCCTTTATCAAGTGGAGGAAGATCCTTTGTATTCCTAGTTTGTTCAGTGTTTTTTTTATCATGAACGAGTATTGGGTTTTGTCAGATTTTTTTTCTCTGCATCTCTTGAGATGATCATAAAGTTTTTGCCTTTACTAATTTGGTGTAATTGACTTTCAGATGTGAACCACCCTTGCATTCGTGGGATGTCCTACTTGGTCATGGTGTATAAACTTTTTAATGTGCTGCTGGATTTGGTTTTTGTAATTATTTTGTTGAAGATTTTGCATCTATATTCACAAGAGATGTTGATTTAATAGTTTTCTTTAGTATCTTTGTCTGGCTTTAAACTTGTATGTTCTTAACATGGATTGAGTATCCCTTATCTGAAGTGCTTGGATTTTTTTGAAGTTTGGAATATTTACATGTACATAATGAAATATTTGGGGGATGAGACCCAAGTCTAAACATGAAAGTCATGTATGTTTCATATATACACATATCCTGAAGGCAATTTTATTCAGTATTCTTAATGATGCCTGTGTTTCGATTTTTACCTGTAGCATGAATCTTGTGTGGAATTTTCCCTTTGTGGTGTCCTATTGGTGCTCAGAAAATTTTGGATTTTGAAGCATTTCAGATTTTGGAGTTTTGGAGTAGGGATGCTCAACCTGTAGATGTATGTTTCATAAATAGTACATAGCAATTTTTAAAAAAATTTAGTTTTGACAGTCTTTGACTTTATTTGGAAGGTTAAATCCATTTATATTAACTGTTCATATTCATGTATTCAGAACCATATATTTTATATTTGTCTTGCTTTTTTGGTTTCTGTAGTTTTCTTTGTTTTTGCTCTGTCCCTATTCCTATTCCTTACCCCTACTTTTTCCTAGCTTTATTAAATTATCATTCCACTCCTTTTTTGTAGTTCAGTGAATATTTCTTTAGCATAAATTGAGTAGTAGGCACTGTGGAAAATGCCTCAGTGCCACTTGATGGTACAAGAAAATAGAAAAGAAAATAAGCAACAAATAGAAAAAAAAATAAACTTGGACAAGTGTTATAAAGAGGAAGAATGGGGTTCTTTTTTTTTCTGGTACTAGGGATTAAATTCGGGTCCTTGAGCTTGTGCAGCAGGCGGCGAAACTACTGAACTAAATCCCCGGCCTGGTTCTTATGATTTAAATATACTACATAGAAATTTTTATTCCATTTCTTTTTTTAAAAAATACAGCATTGCAGTTACACATTTCTCTACTTTAAAAGTTCATGAAAATGTGTTTGAGTATGGCTTTCCTTTTCTTTAAGTTTCATTGGACTAACAGAGGAATTATATCTTTCATCTATCCTGGAAAATGGAAATTGTTTAGTTTTCATTTTCTTCAGTATTGCTTTTCTCTACTTTCATTATTGTACCCCTTACTGGATCTCTGATTATATGTATGTTGAATCTTTTTGTTTTATTTTCCATGTCTCAACCTCTCATTTTGTATTGCTTTGTGGTCCATTGTGGGTAACTTCCTCTGGCCTATCTTCCAGTTTACTCATTCTTTTAAGTTATATCATAAGAGCTCTTCCATTGACTTCCTAACTACTTATGTTCATTTCTAAAAATTCTATTTTCTTTTTTTCCACTTTTTCCCATTGTCTTTGTTATGTCATACGTTAATCTCTTATTTCTTAAAATATATTTAATATAGTCTTTATCTTACAATTCTAGTATTTTTAGTCCTTGTGAGTTTGTGATTTTGTTTTATACTGGCTTGTTTTCTCTTGTATTCAGGGGTTTTTTTGGGGTTTTTTTGCTTTTGCTTTTTAATTTAAAAATTTTTATTTTGGAATAGTTTTAGACTTATAGAAACATTACAGATTTAGTATAGAGGGTTCTTAACTGTTCTTCTTCACCCAGGTTCTTGTAAAGTTAAAATCTTACGTACATTTGTTGAAACTAAGAAATTAAATATTGGCACAGTATTATTACTAAGATTTTACCAGTTATTCCACCAGTGTCCTTGAGTTTCCAAGATTCAGTACAGAATATTACATTGCTTCTAGCATTAAATGATTTTTTATTGAATTTACATTTCCTGGAACTTTGAGGGAATTCTTTGAGGTCTGTCTGTGTTTAAAGTGAATTCTTTTAGATAGAATTTGCATTTGCTTCTGCCTAGAAAGACATTTTATACCTGGTATCTCTTTAAACCCGTGTGTGTGTGTGTAGTGAATCTTTTAATTAGAAGTTTACCTAAGAACTTCATGTCAAAGAGATAGTGTTATTTCTAGTCCCAAGTTCAGACTTTTGATTAGGAATCTTAGGTGCTACTTCTTCCTATTTAAAATCAAAGTCCAGAAGGCAAAGTTTCCTTCTATAGGATACTTTTCCTTTTTGAAAATTCATTCACGTAGCATCACCTATTTTGAAGTCCCAATATGACTGGGGGCCAGTGGCTTCTTTGATCTGACCTTTCACTCTTGTTGATTCTACTTATGTTTCTGGTCTTCTCATGTGTTAAATTCACACTCTAAGCTGTGGATGAGCTGCATAGCTGGCAAAGTATGGACTGTAGTCCATTTCTGGCTCTTGGCTTAAGTTTGTGTACTTTGCTACCCAAGGATGATCTTTGCTGTTTTTAGAGGTTTATGAAAAAAGTTGAATATGTTAAAGATTATATGTGGCCTACAAAGCCCAAAATACTCTTGTGTGTGACAGAAAAGTTTGCTATTCTTTGCCCTAATATCAGGGATTGTCTCCTAATAGATTAGCACTTTATACTCTGGTTTCTCTTTAGATTGTATAACCCTTGTGACTTTTATTAATAGATTAACACTTTTTTTTCAGTATGCATTAAAAAAACTTTTTGTTTTGGCTTTTGTTTTTGTTTTTCCCTCTGGTACTGGCGATTGAATCCATGGCCTTCACTCTGAGCTACCTCTCCAGTCTTTTTAAAATTTTATTTTGAGATAAGGGCTTGCTAAGTTGTCAGGAACCCCAGGCTAGCCTTGAACTTGCCATCTCTTGCTTCAGCTTCCCAGAGTGCTGAGATTAGTGGTGTGCAGTACCTTGCTTTTGCATTTTTTATACACTGGCATGTTGTTAAACTGAAATGAAAGTCTATAAAGTCTTTTATTGCATAAGGACCCTCCACCCCAGTACCCGGGACTGAACTCTGTATTTAGTCAGTTTTTTCCTTTATTTATAGTGTCTAAGGTTGAAGGGTTTTGTGTATAGCTTTTGTTTATTTTAATTTTAAAACTTTATTAAATTTTTTTGACATATGGGTGTAGTTTTTAAAAATTTTACTGAGAAAGATAATGGATACCTTAATCTTAAATTTTATATGGCTTTTGTTAAATATAACATATTTCTCTAACCAAAAAAAAGTCCTAATTTATATTCTAATCAGTAATATAGAAGTATTTCCATCTCACTAAACTGTCATTTTGGGTATCGTCATTTAAAAAGATGCCTTAAATATTATATACCAAAAGTGATATCTCAATGTCGTCTGGTTCCTTTTCTTAAGTCACTAAGA